GACAGTGCTACAGTGCTATTATGATTATATTATATAGTATATACATTATATATTTATACCATATATTTATTCTTGGATATCAGATTTGTAAGGAATCAAAATCAGTGCTGGAGGAATGGAAATCCTGAAATGGATGATGAGGTAAACAAAGGGCAAAAAGGGGTCTGACACTTGTCAAGGCAGAAGATAATGTTTCAAACTGCTGCCTCCTACTATTCCTATTTCTGATGTCATTTTGCTCCATGATTTTCATTGTTCACAAAAATGTCTAGGGACAAAATACTATTTTAATACAAAGTGAATGCCCAACAATACAATAATTAGAAAAAATTCTTCAAATTAATCATTTTTCATGTACAATTAATCTGAATCTCTTCTCAAGAGCAAGAAAATCCAATCACATCCTGTTAGCGCAGCAATTACAGCATTTAAAAAGATGCTTCAGTTCTGCTACTAAGGCTGCAAATGCTTCCTATCATTACTCACAACCAATTTGTCTAATAAATTCTGCAAACATTTTTGCCATTAAAATACCAACTTTTGCTGGCCAGAGCGATAGTGGGTAAGGTTTTTGCCTTGCAAGCAGCCCGAGTTTGATAATTGGCATCTCAGATGATCCCTTGAGCATCACCAGAAGTGATCCCTGAGCACAGAGTCAGGAGTAAGCCCTGAGCACCACTAGGTATACCCCCCCAACCCCTGCAACAAAGTAAAATAAAGTACCAGTTAACCCTCCTTTGGGTCACACTCGCTGTGCAAAGGGCTTAACCCTGGTTCTACACAGGGATCACTACTGGCAGGATTCGGGGTACCTTATGTAGTGTTGGGGATTGAACCTGGGTTGACTGCATACATAGTATTTGCCTTACCCATACAGTACTATCTCTCCCACCACCTTTTTCCTCTTTATGTAGTGCTGAGATGAAGGCACCATTAACACACAATTTCCAAATAAATTCAATTGTTTTGTCTCATGCTGAAAATAAAGGCAAACCTATATTCTTTATATTTAAGCAATTTTTTTAGCACTAATACTTAACTGTGTATATACTATAGCTTTTTTTTTCACCACCCTAGTTTAGAGAAAATGCTAATCTAAGAGTAATATTACAAGAACAGAAAACTCTTTCCACGTCCCCCCACCAGCACCCCACCCATCCAACAGAGAACTTCAAATAATTATATAATCCTTGAATTACACTGAACAAAAACAGAAGGCCTTAAGATACCTAGCTAGTTTGGAGAACTGCAATTAAAGTTCAGGGAAGGAAGCAGTCTCATTTGTAGACATAGCTCTTACAAGGAACAAAGTGGAAAAATAATTTCTTCAGTTCTCATCAAGGGAGCTATAGAGGAAAAAACTAATTTACAAATTCACAACGTGGTTTAACTCATTTAAAATGACCTGCCTTTCACAATGGACACATGATCCTGTTAGGAAAACACATTACTCAAAGCACAGGGATTCAATTTAATTAAACTCATAATCTCCTTACCAGCTAATGTCAAATATTTACAGAAACACCCAATGGAATCTATATTTTCAGGGAGTTAGCTCTGAAACGAGCCTTGAGCGTATTAGACTGCTGAAGACCTAGAACAGAGTTCTAACCTGAGCATGCACCTCCATCACGAGGAGCCTGTTGGGAGTAAAGTATCCCTGGCAGGCGGGATGGCTGAAAGGGCTAGAGCATATGCTATGCATGTGGAGGTGCTAGGTTCAAACCGGGCACAAGGTTCCTGACCACCATTGAACTGACACAAGGTGGGGTTAAGCCCCTGAGCAATGGGGTATGGTTTGAATACCCCTATACACAGCCGCAGAGAATACAGGGGTTATGGCACTTGCCTTGCACATCGCTGATCTGAGTTTGATCCCTGGCACGTCACGGTCATGGTCCTCCCACTGTTCATCAATTTGCTCAAGCGGGCCCAGTAACATCTCCATCGTGAGACTTGTTACGGTGTTTGGCATATTGAATATGAATACGTCATGGGTAACTTGCCAAGTTTTGCCGTGCGGGCATGACCCCCTAAGAAATGGCAGGTGTGATCCCTCACATGTATTCAAATCCAAACACAAACTGAATGTCTTGAGTCCAACCAGCAGAATTTCTGAATCTGGTGTGGGTAATTTTTAACAAATATTTAAAAAAACAAATTCCCAGAACCTTCCACTAAAGTATACTTTGAGTCCAGTGGTTTAGGGTCTCTTATCAACCGACTTGGGTACTGGAACATATGCTCTGCCTGAGTGAGGACTGGATATGAGCCCCAAGGACCACGGGGTGTGGTCTTAAAAACACCCAACAAGGTCTAACTTTAATAAGCCAGAGTAAGAGGGTCAGAAGAGTGGAATGATCAGTGTGTATGATGGCTGAAGCGTCTGCACAAGTAAATTGATGGCCGAGCCAAATATTTAGGGAGATAAATGGAAGTCTTTTGATTAGCAATTTTTGCATGACCTTTAAATAATTTCAACCCAGTGGTGGAGGTGGAAACAAGATTTGCAGTGGGATAGGGAAATTAAGCTATGTATGGGACAAAGCACAGGAAAAGCTGCTTGTTTAACAAACTTGTTTTCATGTTCTTTGGATGAAGTTAAAGCAAGAGATCAGGTCAAAGATGGACCCACAAGTTAGAGAAATAAAGGCAGAAACACGAGTCTGTCCACACCAATGTCCTTTTTCTATTAGTTTCTCTTGCTTTTTTTATATAGGATTTCCTGTTCCTCCTGGATCATGATTTTTCAAAGTATTGTCATCACTCCCTTCGACAAAGTAGGTAGCACTGTAGCACTGTCCTCCCATTATTCAACGATTTTCTCGAGCAGGCACCAGTAATGTCTCCACTCTGAGACTTGTTACTGTTTTTGGCATATCAAATACATCAGGGGTAGCTTGCCAGGCTTTGCCGTGCAGGCAGAATACTCTTGGTAACTTGCCGGGTTCTCCGAGAGGGGTGGAGGAATCGAACCCAGGTCAGTCTAATGCAAGGCAAACACCCTACCCGCTATGCTATTGCTCGGGCCCAACAGAGTAGGTAACATTAAATATTCTCTATCAGGCTGGAGTGATAGCACAGCACAGTAGGTACGGCGCTTGCCTTGCATGCAGCCGACCCAAGTTCAATTGCCAACATCCCATCCCCGGAGCACCTCCAGGAGTAATTCCTGAGTGCATGAGCCAGGAGTAACCCCTGGGCATTGCCGGGTATGACCCCTCGTCCCCCCAAAAAATCTCTATCAATAACTTAGTATCAAAATTATATAGTAAAGAATGAATCAGCCTTATTTTATAGGATTAGGGAAAGTCTTGGTAAAATTCAACAAGACTGAGGGGACGAACCATGGGTACATATTAAGTGCCAAACCTTTGAATCAAGTGTGCAGTTGAATGGAGTTCAGGCACAGTAAACTCAGCAGAACTACGGGGGCTGAAAGAGATAGCTGATGTCAGAATTGGTATAGGCCATCTGGAACTCAATGGATAGTACAGTAGGTAGAGCACTGGCCTCACACACAGCTCACTGGACTCAATCTGCAACATCCCTTAGGGTGCCAAGTCCTGCCAGGAATGATTCCTGAGCACAAAGTCAAGCATAAGCCTAGAGCATTGGCAGGTGTGGCCCCCAAACCAAACCACAACAAAAAGGAAAAAACCTCAGAGATACAATAGTGGGAGATTCAAGAGTGACTAGAGACAGAAATAAACTACAGATATCCTCACTTTAAGGAGTCAACAGAAAGGGGGATTTACGTTACGGTAAAATACTATAACTTCCAACTCGAGTGGGGGACCCAACAAGTCCAATACTCATACACAGCCATGTGGTCCAAAAGCAAGTAATTTGTTTTCCCCATTAGGATAGCACGTAGAACATTCAGTCAGGCACTAGGAAATCAGAAATTTAATGTCTTTAACTTTGGGTCTGGTGGAGGAAATGTTTACATTAAAAAGTTTAGAGAAGGAAAGCCAGTCATGAAAACATGAACTTTATTTCATCGACCAAGACCATAAGTAATTTCTCTCCTGATTCCAAGTTTTTGCCCAGTACTAGCAGGGAAGTCTCCATCCCAAATAAATGGATTTATTACTATTTTTACCGAATACGAAAGGCAGCTAAAGATGGAAACCACTTCCCCTTTGGTTGTGTGCACAAAGTGCATGCCGTATCTGTAAATACACACTAGAAGCAACAACCAAACTGTAATCCAATTACACTTTAAAATGCTCCTTTGGTATTAAGTGGGGCTAGGCCAGCAACTGCCAGCCCTTTGGTACAAAGATTGAAAGGCACTAAAATAGATCGAATGTAACTCTAGCAAGTTAACTTTGCCTTGCACTTCCTTTTATGTGAAAAGGAGTACATGATTCCAAATTTTTAACATCTAGGTCATGTAAAGTGCCTCATGTTACTACAGTACCATTAATACTTTACTCTTGATCAAAACAAAAAAGGTCTATTAAGGCCACAAGGAATATAAATTAAGCTGCTTTGTCTTGCATGACTGTACCTATATGCCCCCTTCCCCCATCACCACCAGGAGTGACTTTAGTAACCCTAGAGCATCACCGCCAGACTATCCACTCCTCTTGTTTTTATCCAAGCAGGACTCCTCAAAAGGTCAAAATAACTCACAAAGGAGTTAAGTAATAAGATTTCAAAGTTTCTTATCCTAAGACAATTACTCAAGACACAATTGGCAGCAACCATCCTTCCTCAGCCTAACTGTAGAGTTAAATAAAATCTCAAATTTTTTTCCAGTGCGGCTTTACATGACCACCAGAAAATGACAATATTCTGTTGCTCAATAAATCTTTTCACATTTTTCAGCAAGATTAAATTTAAATAGTAAAGATAGTACACCCTACTGATTAGGATACAACTCAAACTTTGCTTTAAATAATTTGGGGGGGGGTGGGAGGGTGGTAAAAGACACAACATTTGTACTGAAGAGAACCATTTTTTATAGTCCAGGAGTTTCTTTATTTTTAAACAACACTTCTCATGCCATGAATTCATAAGGAATGGGCTCCAGCAGCTCAGGTTCCTTTCCATTGGTTCTTACAAAGTGTGCTTCTCTGGGTGGAGCAGGCTAGGAAGAGAAGAAAAAGATAATTAGGTAAGACACTAACTAAACCACACGTGCTCTAAGAACCAATGAAATGGCAGATATAACTAATTTCATACAAAAGAGAATTACAACTGAGCAACAGACTCAAAGTTCCCAAGAGCAATGCAAAGTACTCACCTGGCGCTTCAGTTGAACCCAAGTTCCTTTCTCTTTGGCTTCCTTCTTTTTCTGATCATTTTCCTTCACCCGTTTCAGGAAGCTGTCTCGACTTTTAGAATGCTTAATATGCTCAATGCGGACATTAATTCTCTTGGCAAGAATCTTGCCCCTGGGAAGAAGATTAATTCTTAAAAATGTCTCACCAAAAATATAACCCAGAGAGATTAATGAAAGAGCAAATAGCTGCAGGTATAAACCTCCAGTTTAAAAAAAAATTGTAATTGCAGGGGAATAGGGCAATTTAACTAAATTTACTGTGCTCATTTAGCACAGCATTCTGCAACCTTTCTATACCTGCAGACTGGCTCCTGTCTTGGACCAGCAAAATTCAAAACACTTTTAGGCAATTCCAAGATTACTCATAAATTGTTTACCCGTAAAACAGAATGAACAAGATGATGCAAATTTGCAATCATGATTAATCTTACTGTGACAAGTTTTTGGGCACACAGACCTACTTTTAAGCTTTTTCTTGTGATAATAGACCTTAAAAATAACTAAAATCAGGATGCTGTATTAAATTACTAAACCTTTTTTTTTTTTTTGCTTTTTGGGTCATACTGTCCGCAATGCTCGGGGTTACCCTGGATCTGCACTCAGGAATTACTCCGTTCTGTGCTGCGGGAACCATATGGGATGCCGAGGATTGAACAGCAGTCTGTCAAGTGCAAGGCAAACGCCCAACCCGCTGTACTATCGCTCCAGCCCAAACTACTAAACCTTTTGCTCTGGCAGTAAAACCACCTTTAATCAATCCCATGACTTTCCTCTAGTTTGATCTTTCATGTTGTTTACTCTGACAGAATAGAAGACAAATATCCAGTTTGCTTGAGTTTTAAAAGACCTGTCTTTGTCCCACTTGAACGACCAATTAAGACTAGTCCAATTGGCAAAGTGAGAAGGGGGCATAAGGGAATACTAATCATACTAATTAGCAACCACCACCTCCCCCCCCCCCACCAATTCACCACATTACTTACTTGACTTGTTTGTTCACAACAATGCCAACGGCATGCTGGGTAACATTGTAGACTCTTCCAGTTTTGCCATGATAACATTTGTGGGGCATTCCTTTTTGGACAGTGCCCATTCCCTATGAACAAAGAAGGCAAATGTAATGCCATTTATTTCTCTTTCACACCAAGGCTATTCAAGGAACTTTTTCTTTTTAATGGCAACTCAAGAGCTTTCAGAGCCGGTGAAATGTGTTTTTCATATTGCTTTGAAAAGCAATCAAAAAGATACTCATCATTAAACTCTAGAGTGCCATAACACATTTAAAAATTAGTCACAAATCAACTATTTTTATAGCCATTCCCACCAGTAATTCTTTACACAAAGGTATTCAATTTCACCTCAACAAATGCTACTAGATGTTGGCAACAACTAGATGAGAAAAACTTAAGCACAAATAAGTCTGGTTTCTAAAGAATATTAACTATCTACACGATAAACTTAAGTTTTATTCCCATTTAAAAGGCTGAAAGGAGCCAACAGTACACTAAGTACTGACCGAGTTATTTCCAACTTGTAACTTACCTTTATGTCTACGATATCACCTTTCTTGTATATACGCATGTACGTGGCCAAAGGAACAACTCCTGGGGGAAGAGTGGGAATCATCAGTACACAGTCAGTAATCCAAACTAAGTATGTAATCTTACCAGCTTTCAGTTAGTAAAAAATAAAGCTTTTGGGGTACCCTGCGTGGCAGTGGTGCTCAGGGCTTGTTCCTGGCTGTCCTCAGGAATTACTTCTGGCAGGTTTGGGACCATATGTGGTGCTAGGAACTAAACACAGGCTGGCCACTTATAAGGCAAGCCATCTACCCACTGTATCACATAGTGTTAGCTGATACAAACTCAAGAGTTGTATTTTACAATCTTGCTTTTTTCAACGTACGCAACATATAAGTTATGCTTTTTAATACACGTTAGAGATGCTAGTTAATGTACACCAAGACCATAAACATCAACACTATAATAAAATACATAACCATACTTAAGTATTAAAAAAATAAAATCCATACATCTTAAACACATAGGCTAACCCATAAAAACAAACCATATGCAAAACTACAAATGCCATGCTTACTTTCCTCAAAAAGAGTAATGTACTTACCATGTTTTCTGAAAGGTCTGGAGAACATATAGCGGGTGCCCCTCCGCTTTCCCTTTGTGTTGGTCATTTTTGCGATTTACTTTACTGGGGGGAAAAAAAAGATATAATTAAGGCAAATTTGGTCTATGTACCTCTACCAAAAATTTTAACTTTGAATGCTTGCATTTCACTAGCAAAATCAGATCTAAGAACACTCTAACCTATAACTAGAAGGGCACCGAAGCAAATTAACTAGAAAACAATTTGACAGTATGACAAAACCTTCAATACGGTGGATTAAACTCTTGTAACAATCTAATTTTTGGTGACAGCTCACCTCACATAACATCACAAGTCAAAATGTCCAATTAATTTATATCTGATCACTGACATGTTTACTGGGAACCATGTTAGGTAGAAGGGGAAAAACAAGTGACAAATCAACCCAATTTGGGTACAGATTCTGATCCAGTTATACCTCGATTCTCATCTGTAAAATGAGGCAACTGAGGCCATGTCTACATAGCACTGTCAACTGAGCCATCTTGGTTAACAATAAATGGTAACTGATCCTTATCTAAATTTACTAATAGGCATTGAGAACAGCAACTTTGTTTCCAAAAGCCAAAATAATTTTAATAGATGCTGGTCATTCATACTACAATTACTACCACAAAGTGAAATACAGGGGAAGCAAGGCTTAATATGAATGTCTGAACCAATTTTCTCAATTAGCATGAGAATGGGCTTCAAGACTGGCTTTTGTACGGCTACCTTCTTGGGTTGCCTTAAGTCTGGAACGTTCTGGAGTCGTCCCTGGGGTGAACCGCAAAGGTTAACCTGTCTCTAAGGGAGGGAGTCGAAGGTTCCCGAGGGTTTTCCTTCAGGCCCTGGAATGCAGCCTCCTCTGGGTTCGCTCAAGGTCTTTTTTTTTTTTTAAAAAAAGCTTGCTTCCTTGGGCCACAAAAGGCGACGCACAGGGGTCACTCCTGGCTCATGCACTCAGGGATTACTCCTGGCGGTGCTGGGGGGACCATATGGGATGCTGGGAATCGAACCCCGATCGGCCGCGTGCAAAGCAAACGCCCTACCCACTGTGCTATCGTTCCGGCCCCTCAAAGTCTTATCCAGAGCTGGCTTTCAGCCTCCACGAGGTAGGCTCAGCCTCAAGACTACTGCCTTTACTTCCCAGCGCCTTCACTTCCCTGCGGTGGGGCCCTTCCCGGCCCATCGGCCCATCGACATCCGACCGACCCTCCCTCCGCTACAGGGCGGCGGACGAAACTCCACCGCCGGGCCAGTAAGCTCCAATCAACCTCCCAAGCCCCCCCAGACGGCCCCTCGGCTGTCTCGGGCAGAGAATTCGCCACCGCGGAGCGACACAAGCGAGGAGCGCGGCGCCCATGCTACCTGAACGCTGGCGGTTCCGGCCGAAAGGAAGGGGGCGGGGCGACGGCGCGCGCATCACGAGGGCCCGCGGGGCTGCCCGCGGAGCTGCCGGGAAGGAGCGGCCCCTGAAGGCGACTCTCTCAGGGGGAAGAGGCCGTCCCTGAGAACAAGGGAATCCTGTCAGGGTATCTTCCTTTGCGGCCATAAAGAAGCCATCGACCCAGACTAAGCGACGCTAGGATCTTTGTTAGACACCTCCCCAAAAGGGGGCCTTCAAGGACCCCCCCCCCTTCCAAACCGGAAACCAACGTCGGGGCGTGCTGACGTCAGCTCGCGTCAGAGCCTGCGCCGCCCCGCGCGTGCGTCTGATGGCGCGGGCGGCTACGCGGAGCAGAGGGTGGGAGCACGTGGTTTGTAGAACCGGTTACGTGAGCGCCAAGGTCGAGCTACTCGAGAGGTTGCAGCTTCTGATCTACGCATCTTTCAGATGTTGCGTGTCTAGTGCGTTGAAGACATCCCACGCACCTTTTGGAAGTTGTGCTCGTGTTAAGACCACTGTTAGGAAAACAATTTGGCAAAATCTAGGAGAACTGAAACTTTAAAGGTATCAAATTGCAGTATTCCGTTGCTCAACCCATGCCCCCGAACTTGAATTTGGAGTTCAGGATGGGAGCTAATTTTTTTCGCCACTCAGCAGCATTAGTGGTGAAAAAAAATTAGAAATATCCTTCAGTAAAAGTAATCATTCTGGGACGTTAAAACATATTACAGTGAGCGTAGATCAAACATCCGTATGATGAAGCCAAAGGAGGAGGATGTATAATGTACATAGTATGATAAGCCATTTACATAGGATATAAAAACATTAAAAAGCTTAGATAAAGTGGGCTAGGAAGAGCCCCCTCCCAAGCATTGAAGCATGTGGCACCCCATTACCCCCCACATATACCAAAACCAAAATAACTGAGGGTGAAGTATGTATGCATTTGTAAATAGTTAAAATCAAAGTGAGAAGGTGGTGCTGTCTGGTGGAAAGCGCTATAAAAAGATAGGGAGGTTTTAATGGCTGGGTTGTTCTTAAGCTGTTTTAGAATACCTGGGAGGCCGTTTTTCGTACTACTTTAATTTTGAGGAGCCCTGGGGACCCCTCTCAGTACCAGGTGACTGTTCCCACTCCCCTGGCGATCTAACCAGGATAGGCCATGTGTAAGACAGGCACCCTCAGTTTGTCCTATCTTCCAAGTGCTGTATGAACTTTATAATGGAGGTTCGTTTTAGGTGTTTTTTTTTTTTTCAAAGACACGTTGCATTAATGTTTTCAGCAGTGCCTGCTGCAGGTGGGGGTTGAGTTTAGGGTCTAGTATAAGACAGGCTCCTATTGCGCCACTAGACCTGTTTCCTGGCCCTAGTTTTGAGTAGCACAGTAGCACTGTCCTCCCCTTAATCATTGAATTGCTCGATCGGGCACCAGTAACATCTCACAACAAATTGTGAGACTTGTTACTGTTTTTGGCATATTGAATACTTCTCAGGTAGCTTGCCAGTCTTTGCCGTGTGACTGAGATACTCTTGGTAGCTTGCTGGGCTCTCCGGGAGGGGTGGAGGAATCAAACCTGGGTGGGCCATGTAGGCTGCGTGCAAGGCAAACACCTTACCCGCTGTGCTGTCCTCCAAATTGGTGGGCTGGGGGGTGGGGGGGGCAGCGCTTTGGGCAGGAGAGGATAGGAGGTAGGGTGCTTGCGTAGCATGCAGTCAACCCGAGTTTTTTGGTTTTGGTTGGTTGACTTTGGGGGCCACAATAGCTGTGCTAAAGGTGTACTTTTGACTCTGCGGTAAGAAATCACTCTTGGTTGTACTTGGGGAATTATATAGGGTGCCAAGATTCAGACCTGAATGGGCCATGTGCAAAGCAAGAGCTCTACCCATTCTATTGTCTCTTGAGGACTCTGAATCCCAGCTTGGTCCCCAGCATCTCATACGATCCCCCAAGCACTGCCAGGGGTCACTACTTAGCACAGCTAGGAACAGCTCCTGAGCAACAGTGGATTGTGGTGCCAACCCCCCACCCTCAAATGGAATAAAACTAATTTAAAAAGTTGTTGGGCCACAGAGATAGTACAGTGAGTAAGGTGTTTGCCTTATACTTGGGTTTGATCCCAAGCACCACATATGAGACCCACCCAAGCCTCCCCAGGACTGATTCCTGAGCATAGAGTCCTGAACACTGTGGGATATTGTCTTTGTCCACTCTCCCCTCCCCCCGCCCACATGCACACACCAAATCAGAGTAGTACAGCCAATTGGCCCTTGAGCATCCAATCTTTATTTTATTTTAGTTTTTGGGTGTTTGGGCCACACCCAGCAATACTCAGGGCTTGCTCCTGGCTCTGTACTTAAAAATTACTCCTGGCAGTGTTGGGGGGAACATAAGGGATGTTGGGGATGGAACATGGGCCAGCTACGTGTAAGGCACACACCCTACCCACTATGCTCCAGTCCTGAATTAATGTCTGATTGTAGGATGGTATATTTGTTATAGTTAATCAATCAATAATGTGCGTTATCATTAATTCCATTATTTAGTCATATTTCCTTAATGTCCATTAAGGAAACATGACATTAGTCATGTTTGCCTGTTTGCCTAATGTCCATTTTTTTGTGCCAAGATCCTAGAAGATCCTAGCTAGGATGTAATAGATTAAAATGCAAAACACATTTTAATCTATTACATATGGTCATGCCTCCTTACACTGTGGCAGCTTTCTCAGCCTGCCTGTATTATTATTATTATTATTTATGTATATATATATATATATATATTTGCTTTTTAGGTCCCAGCAATGCACAGGGATTACTCACAGGGATTACTCCTGGCTCATGCACTCAGGAATTACTCCTGGTGGTTCTCAGGGGACCTTATGGGATGCTGGGAATCGAACCTGGGTCAGCCACATGCAAGGCAAATACCCTACCCACTGTGCTATCACTCCAGCCCCCCTGCTTGTATTTTTGATGATCTTGATAATTTTTAAAAAATGGGGTCATACCCTAGAGGAGCTTTTTAGTACAGGGCCTCTCATGTGGTGGTTTGTGCACTACAATTTAAACCATACTCCCACTGCCGCTAGTCTTGTGATATCCTGGTCAGGTATTTTGTAGGATTATTCAGTATTGGAATTGGAATTGATCTCATGATTGTCTATATTATTTTAAAACACACTTTCAGAAAATCAGCCAAGCAAAACACATTTTAATCTATTTAAATGTGGATCTTATTGATTTTGAAATTTGTGTTTTCTTTATATTTGTTGCTTTAAATTGTTTTTTCTAATTGTTTTTGTCTTTTGGGACACTCCCAGCAGTACTCAGGGCTAACTCCTAACTCTGTGCTCAGGGATCACTGGTTCAGAGGACCATATGGGGTACCAGGAATTAAACCTGGGTTGGCTGCATGCCAGGCGAGTGCCCTACCCACTGTACTATCATTCTAGGTCCGGTTGCTTTAATTTAAAAATAATTCCATAATTCGCATTTCTTTAACTGTCTACCTTTTCAGCTAATGAGTGCTTCATTTTATTTTTCTAAAGTCCTTTTAAAATTTTTGTTAAAATAATGAAGCTGTGGTGTAGGTGAACAAAGAATTATAAGGCAGCTACAAGTAATGACAAAACTATGCAATTTACTGCAACATGGATGGAACTGAAGGATCTCATATTAAGTGAAGGAAGTTAGAAAGACAGGGACAAAAGTGGATGTTCTTACTTATCTGTAGTATCTAGAATAATGTGTCTCAGGAATAGAATGTACCAATAGTGGGAAACCTTTGGCCTTATATTACACAAACAAAAGTGCTGGAGAAGAGATATCAGCTGGAAGCAAGAATAGGTGGTCAGGAGGTAACATAGAGGCAAGGGTCAGGGATCTCAAGCCAATCTGTGGTATAGAGGCAGGTACCCGTATAGAGCCAAACCACTACAGCCAATGCTACTGTGAGCATGGAACCCAAACTACAATCAATAAACTTTATAATGTATCTGTTAAGGAGAGCAGTTGAGAGATGAACCTGATGAAGGGATGTGGACCTGTTGGTTAGATTGGAGTTGGAGCATTGTATGCCTAAAACCCTATTGTCAACAGCATCGTAAACTGCAGTGCCTAAATTAAAAAGGTATTATTATTTAGGTAATATGGTTAACAACGGAGTTTAAGTTTCTAGTACTGGTGTACAAAATTACTGCAGCTCCCAACAAAAAGCCATGACCCTTCACCTCTGTCCCTGTGTCTCTTTTGGTTTGACTGCTTCATTTTCATCTTTACGAACTTGCTCTGTTTTTTCCCTACCTGAAACTCATAACCCTTCCCTTCCTCCCCATACTAGACTCTGTCTTTCTTTTCTTCCATCTATAGCTCTGTGTTTTTTGTTTTTGTTTGTGTTTTGTTTTGTTTTAATAAAACTTGTAAAAAGAGAGTTGTTTGGAGACCCAATACTGGTTCAGCAGTGAAAGAACCTACCTTGGAATCACGAGGCTGTGAGTTTAATTCCCATTCTACTAACACACAATCAAATGGGATGCTAGGAGCTATGCTACGTCTCTGTGCTCAGGGATCACTCTTGGAGGACTCCGGGGACCATATGAGGTACTGCGGGTTGAACCTGGTCAGCTGTGTGTAAGGCCAGCACCCTCTTTCCCATCATGTAACTTTTTAACCAAATATATGAATACTGTCATCTCTTCCTCGTCTCCTATTTTCAGTTGAATCTGACTTCTGCTCCATTTGTGCCATTAAAATTTCTCTTGTCAAGCTCATCAGCTGCCTCCTGCTGCCAGAACAAAATCATGTTCCCTTTGCTTGTCTTTTCTAATCTTCTGGAAACGCTATTTAGACTTGACCATTCCTTCCTTTCAATTTCTCCACCGTTACTTTTGTTGGCCTACCATCTTCTTCGTGCCCTCAGGACATGAAACTAGCTCTCCTGCTCTTTTTTTTTTCTATATATCTTCTTGGGTAACTCCTCTATGCCCATTATATATACAGATATTTGAATTTGTTTGTCCCCTTCCTGTCTTTGTTGTTGTTGTGATAATTGGGGCTGTGTAGTTGATTGTGGTGTTCAGTTAGTAGGTTTAAAATAAAACTTGGGTTTTACTCTCTAACCTTTTTGCTCCCATATTTCCCATGTTGGTAAATAGCTATAGATAAGCCCTGAGACAACTGGGCCCCTC